CTGGTCAACATGGTGAAACCCCGTCTCTACTAAAAATACAAAAATTAGCTGGGCATGGTGGCGCACACCTGTAGTCCCAGCTACTCAGGAGGCTGAGGCAGGAGAATTGCTTGAACCCAGGAGGCGGAAGCTGCGGTGAGCCGAGATTGCGCCATTGCACTCCAGCCTGGGTAACAAGAGCGGAACTCTGTCTCAAAAAAAAAAAAAAAAAAAAAAAAAAATAGAGGTTGGGGTTGGGAGGGTTAAAGTCACACTAAAAGACAAAAACATGGAATTATATGATTTAAACAATCAGTGGAGATTATTCCTGTGTTTTTGTTTTATTTGCAAATCCTACCTACTATCTACCAAAGAGTGTTGTCTCCTGGATTTGCTATCAGATAGACTCATTCTTGAGAAAAATGGAGAGTGAGGAAGAAGGGGAGGCAGTCCAAGGTGGCCTGCCTGCAGGGGATGCTCTGAAAAACAGTTGCTCTAGCTAAGGAAAGATAGAATGAAATGCATATCTCCCAGAAAGAGCAAGAATCTAGTGACTCCTTGTTTTTTCCTCCACAATTCAGGTCTATCTGGGCCTAGAAGTAGTCCTTTTACATACATGGGAAGATAGAGTTAGGGGAGAATGAAAAACAGATGGTGCATTGGGATTCCTTGCATCCAATACAGGAGCACCCAGATTCATAAAGCAAGTTCTTAGAGACCTACAAAGAGACTTAGATTCCCACGCAATGATAGCAGGAGAACACCCCACTGTCAATATTAGACAGATCAATGAGACAGAAAATTAACAAGGATATTCAAGACTTGAACTCAGCTCTGGACCAAGCAGACCCAGTAGACATCTACAGAACTCTCCACCATAAATCAACAGAATATACATTCTTCCCAGCATCACATCACACTTATTCAACAATTGACCACATAATTGGAAGTAAAACACTCCTCAGCAAATGCACAAGAACAGAAATCATGACAAACAGTCTCTCAGACTACAATTCAATCAAATTAGAACTCAGGATTAAGAAACTCACTCAAAAACCCCACAACTACATTGAAACTGAGCAATCTGCTCCTGAGTGACTACTGGGTAAATAACACAATTAAGGCAGAAATAAATAAGTTCTTTGAAACCAATGAGAACAAAGACACAACGTACCAGAATCTCTGGGACACAGCCAAAGCAGTGTTTAGAGGGAAATTTATTGCACTAAATGCCCACAGGAGAAAGTGGAAAAGATCTAAAATCAATACTCTAACATTACAATTAAAAGAACTAGAGAAGCAAGAGCAAACAAATTCAAAAGCTAGCAGAAGACAAGAAATAACTAAGATCAGAGTAGAACTGAAGGAGATAGAGACACAAAAACCCTTCAAAAAAATCAATGAATCCAGGAACTGGTTTTTTGAAAAGTAACAAAATAGATAAAATTCTAGCCAGACTAATAAAGAAGAAACAAGAGAAGAACCAAATAGACACAATGAAAAAGGATAAAGAGGATATCACCACTGATCCCACAGAAATATAAACTACCATCAGAGAATACCATAAACACCTCTATGCAAATAAACTAGAAAATCTAGAAGAAATGGATAAATTCCTGGATGCATACACCTTAACCAGGAAGAAGTCAAATCCCTGAATAGACCAATAACACGTTCTAAAATTAAGATAGTAATTCATAGCCTACCAACCTAAAAAAGCCCAGGACCAGATGGATTCACAGTCGAATTCTACCAGAGGTACAAAGAGGAGCTGGTACCATTCCTTCTGAAACTATTCCAAATAATGGAAAAAGAGGGACTCCTCCCTAACTCATTTTATGAGGCCAGCATCATCCTGATACCAAAACCTGGCAGAGACACAAGCGAAAAAGAAAATTTCAGGCCAATATCCCTGATGAACATCAATGCGAAAATCCCCGATAAAACACCGGCCAACAAAATCCAGCAGCACATCAGAAAACTTACCTACCACGATTAAGCTGGCTTCATCCCTGGGATGCAAGGCTGGTTCAGCATATGCAAATCAATAAACTTAATGTATTACATAAACAAAACCAATGACAAAAACCACATGATTATCTCAACAGATGCAGAAAAGGTCTTTGATAAAATTCAACACCCATTCATGCTAAAAATTCTCAATAAACTAGGTATTGATGGAACTTATCTCAAAATAATAAGAGCTATTTATGACAAACCCACAGCCAATATCATACTGAATGGGCAAAAGCTGGAAGTATTCCCTTTGAAAACCAGCACAAGAAAAAGACGCACTCTCTCACCACTCCTATTCAACACAGTATTGGAAGTTCTGGCCAGGGCAATCAGGCAAGAGAAAGAAATAAAAGGCATTCAAATAGGAAGAGAGGAAGTCAAACTGTGTCTGTTTGCAGATGACATGATTGTATACTTATAAAACCCCATTGTCTCATCCCAAAATCTCCTTAAGTTGATAAGCAACTTCAACAAGTCTCAGGATACAAAATCAATGTGCAAAAATAAGAAGCATTCCTATAAACCAATAATAGACAGACAGCCAAATCATGAGTGAACTCCCATTCACAATTGCTACAAAGAGAATAAAATACCTAGGAATACAACTTACAAGGGGCATGAAGGACTTCTTCTAAGAAAACTACAAACCACTGCTCAAGGAAATAAGAGAGGACACAAACAAATAGAAAAGCATTCCATGCTCATGGATTTACAAACAAGAAAGTAATAAACTGATACGGTCTTAATTTCAGAAAGGCTCTCATTTTTAAAAGCATGATGTAGAACAGCCACAGGTGTGGTTTTATACTTTTTCTTAGCTTTAGTTTAGATGTCGTGGTGGCCACAGAAAAGTCAGATCACAGCAGTTCCCTGATAGTTGAAGTCTGGAATGCCACCCTCCGCTTGGGAAGGCCTTTCACCTACCCTTCTGGCAGCCCCTCTGCAGCTCTCCGGAGCCCATTCTAGGACAACAGCTATAAAATCAGCACAAGGGTAAAGAGGAAACCATGGATACTGCACAATTCATGACCCAGATCATCTCTAAGAGTCATGGAGAGTTCACTGAAATAGCAACACCTCTCCCTTGTGCCTTCAGAGGCTGGCGCCTCACTCTGTCTCAATCACAGATTGCCTCCTGTGGTCTCCTGTGCTCAGGGATGATGTATTTATCAGGATAGCTCCAGATGGCAGGAGTAGGCAACTGATTCATTTGCTTCTCAACTCCCAGCAGGCCCCACGAGGGCTTCAGAACTGCAGCCAGCACATCAGTAGTGCCCATTTCTCCTGGGATCAAGGTGTTTCCTCTGATGACTCAATTGATGCTCCAGTCAGAAGAGGGCTCTGCAAAGGAGTTATGGCAGCCCAAGAAGTGGGGACATGCTGGAAGGCCCATCTGCTCCTGTGACTGATTGCACAGTGACTATCCTCTTATTCAGAGGCTGTCACAGTCAGTGAGATAAGAATGCCCAACTCTTTCTCCACTCTGCCTGACTACTTCAGGCAGCCAGCACCAGAGGCTCCTCTAATAACAGCTGTGAAAGGAACCAGTAATCCAAAGACATGTACAGTTGCTCTCAGTTTTCTATGTGTATTTCACTACACTGGAAATATACAGTGGATTACGTTTTATTATATAATACAGTAAATACATTAGATTATACTTGCATTATACCTGGTTGATATCCAAAAGAATGAAAGGAGAGTAAATTATTATTTTATATGTACAATCTTGGAGTTGCATGGTAGCCACAGAAAAGTCAAACAGGTGTTTGAACACAAGTGCGTCCACCCCAACAGCTCCTCTGCAGCTCTGCAGAGCCCATCCTAGGACAACTAAGCCCATCCTTAGTTCTCCTATGGTGAACTAAGGGAGAGATGACAGTGAGCCTCGATCTCAGTCCCCATCTCCGAACCAGCTCCCCCTGACCCAGTCTATCAGTCCTCCAGCAAAGGTCCCAGGGTCCCCCGGAAGACAGAAACAGAGAAAGTACAAGGAGAAAAGAATGAGTAATTTCATCTGAAAGGGCACTTATAGTAAGACTGTCCTTTTGTGGTCAGAAACATAACCATGTCTTTATTATTAGTGGTAAAGGAAAAAGCCAATACTAATGTCGTAATACAAAAAAAAAATTACATAAAGTCAGAAATAACCTGTAATCATGAAACATACACTGAACAACAGCCTATGTTTTAAATCTGATTTTCCTGGTCCAACCTTGTCAAAGAATCCTCTGAAGGTCCCCGTACCCCACTCCACTCCCACTCTGGCAGGCCACCTGCATCCCAGACGGACCATATGTGGGTCCGTCACATATCTAAGCCTGACAATCCTCAGATAATCCTGTACCCCTGGGCTGTCTAGCAATCATTGCCTGAGTGTGGATCAAGCTCACCAAAAGAAAAATGTGCCATATTGCCCCTAACCCTAACCCTCACCCATATTGACACTTTGGGAGGCCGAGGAGGGCAGGCCACCTGAGTTCAGGAGCTCAAGACCAGCCTGGCCAGCATGGTAAAACCTCGTCTCCACAAAAATACAAAAATTAGCTGGTGCAGTGGTACATGCCTATAATCCCAGCTACTTGGGAGGCTGAGACACAAGAATTGCTTGAACCCAGAAAGCGGAGGTTGCAGTGAGCCAAGATCGCACCACTGCACTCCAGCCTGGGCAACAGAGCAAGACTGTCTCCAAAAAACAAAACAAAACAAAAGAAAAATGTGCCATATGACTATGAGGAATTGCAGTTCCTGAGACTGAGTCTCCCTTTCCAACACCACATGGCGAGAAGGCGAGTCTATAAAGTCACATAGGCAAGAAACACGTAATTCACAGGTCCAGTTTTTGTTTTGTGTTTTGGTGGGTTTCTGTGGAGCAGTTGAGAGCTGAATTCCATTTTTCCCTCTATAAATCTGGGCTCTCCTAAGCCTTATCACCTAGGTCAGGGACTTGAGCTTGGTCTGACTCCTAGAATGGATGATGAGCACCAGGGCTCAGAGCCTGTTACCTGCTGTACATCCTGCTGGAAGACACAGAGCTGCAGCCGCTGGTGGAGTCGCACCTTGCGGTGCTGCCAGATGCTCTCCAGCCGTCGCTGGTGGTGTAACACCTCGTGCACCACGTCCAGCACCTGGTGCACTGCTTTGGAGTAGTTGGCTGTGGCTGTGAGGGATTCGGAGTTCCCAGGGCTCAGGGGCCGCTGCAGCACATCTAGCAGAGCTTTGCCATCCTGGCTGACCTGCAAGAAAGAGAGAAGATTGGATTAAGGGAAAAGAGTGATAGGCAGGGCACGGAGAAAAACAGGAAGAGTCTGCCTGAGGGTCCCTGACTAGGCCTTTTGAGAATCTCAAGCCTCCCACACGCAGACAACTGTCCAGCCAGAGCTTCCACAGGGCCCAGCCTCCAGCCTGGTGGAGGGCAGAGCAGCTGGAATCCTGGGATAGGGGAGTTGCTGGAGTGCTGGAGAGTTATCTGTGAGACTCTCTCCCTTCCTGAATTTCAGCTTTGTGAGGGCAGGGACCCTGCCTGCTTGCTGCTTTCCTCCCAGTGCCCAAAACAGTGCCTGGCACACAGTAGGCACTTGGTAAATAATTTAACTGACTCACACTAGGTGAGACAGCATAACTTCATTTCAGAAATGAAGTCAATATAAGTTGCCACCATAACCTTTTCCTGCTCTTTCTTTCCCAATTTCTTCTATCTGGCTCCAAACTTCTAGATGTGTGACAAGAGGCAAGTTATTTAACCCGCTTGGTCCTCAGCTTCCATGTCTGTAAAGGAGGGATAATTACGTACATACTTCATAAAGTCGTGGTGAGGATTAAATGAGTTAACACACATAGAGTGTTTAGAATAGGGCCTGGCATGTGATACTGGCTACCAATTTTATCTTCATCATCATCACTATTTATATGGTTTGTCTATGCCCCCACCAAAGTCTGATCTTGAATTGTAGTTCCCATAATCCCCACATGTTGTGGAAGAAAGCTGGTGGGAGGTAACTAGATCCTGGGGGCAGGTTTTTCCCATGCTGTTATCATGTTAGTGAATAAGTTTCATGAGATCTGATGGTTTTATAAAAGGGCAATTCCCCTGCACACACTCTTTTGATTGCCATCATGTAAGACATGGCTTTGCTCCTCCTTCACCTTCTGCCATGATTCTGAGGCCTCCTTGGCCATAGGAAACTGTTAGTCCATCAAACCTCTTGGAAGAAGCAAGAAGCTTCCATGGATATGAAGGACAAAGGCTCTTCCATTGAAGATCAACGGCAGAGGTGTTACTGCAAAGTTAAGAAAGGGAGGGGGGGAACCTCTTAACAGTCCCCTCAAAGTAAAAGGAAACAGCTACATATGTATATCTGTGTAGATATACACAAGTTAGTAGGTTTGTTAGAGATGGAGACCTGCAAACACTTATCTCCACCCTGTGTGATTTCCTGTGGATCTTCCAGTATTAAAATTAATATTTTCTAATGAGCTGTTTCATAAAAAGGTGGCAGGGCTAGTGTGAACATGTCCATTCACCAATCAGAAAGCAAATTCCAGAGAAGCACAGTTTCATTTCCTTATATTCCTCTCCCAAGAGGAGAAAGTCCAATCTTCACACACAGGATGAGGCAGGTGTGTGTGTGTGTGTGGTGTGTGTGTGTGTGTGTGTGTGTGTGTGTGTGTGTGTGTATAGAGAGAGAGAGAAAGAAAGAAAGAAAGAAAGAAAGAAAGAAAGAAAGAAAGAAAGAAAGGAGGGAGGGAGGGAGGGAGGGAGGGAGGGAGGGAGGGACGGAGGGAAGGAAGGAAAGAGAAGAAGAAAGGAAGAAAGAAAGAGAGAGAGAGAAAGAAAGAAAAAGAAAGAGTATGAATGTGAGCACATCAAGGTGGTGCCTAATAATGGCCCCAATTTTTTCTGTTTCCTGGCTGGAGACACCATAGTTCACAGATCAAGATTCTTATAGATGTCACCAAAAAAAGAAAAACAGCCTCTCTTCTTATTAGTCCCACCCAGGCTATTTCACAGTGTGCAGACCAGTGCCTTCATCACCCACCCACACGCAGACATGCCCAAGACCCATGGCTGCCCTGCTCCATTCTCACCTCTGTGTAGGCTTGGGTCACCTGCTCATATAAAGTCTGGTGGTGGTGGATTGCCAGCTCCAGGTCCTGCATCTCAGATGGCAGTCCACCTTCACTGCACATTTTGCACCAGGCGTCCACACCAGACAGGAACTGGAAGGAGATGTCGGGTGGGTCAGTGGGGCAGCACTGAGGGTGGGGAGTTGGGTGGATTATGGAGAGAGGGTCAGATACCTTGGGAAGAAACATTGGGACTTCTGAAAGCCTTCAGAGAACACTGTAGAGGGTAGAGTTTTTTAATTCCACAAACACTAACTTGTAGTAAGAAATCGGAACTAGGCACCCATTTAGGAAGTATAGTCTCCATAAAAATGACTATTATGAGGCCGGGCATGGTGGCTCATGCCTGTAATCCCAGCACTTTGGAAGGCCAAGGCAGGCGGATCACGACGTCAAGAGATCAAGACCATCCTAGCCAACATGGTGAAACCCCGTCTCTGCTAAAAATACAAAAATTATCTGGGCGTGGTGGCACGCGCCTGTGGTCCCAGCTACTCGGGAGGCTGAGGCAGAAGAATCACTTGAACCCAGGAGGCGGAGGTTGCAGCGAGCTGAGATTGCGCCACTGCACTCCAGCCTGGTGACAGAGCAAGACTCCATCTCAAAAAAGAAAAAAAAAAATGACTGTTATGAAACTGCAGGGGGCAGGTGAGTCATCAGATGTTTAATAGGTTGTAGCTACACACAAACTGTAATGTCCAGGTAGGGAAACAGCTCACCCCATTCCACGAATACATTAGCGCTTCCTGTCCCATGCATACTCACAGGTATACGTGAGGGGCTGTGTGTAACTTAAGATGTTCCACACCTGTGCTTTACAGTGTGTATATCCAGTTATGAAGACAAGCAAAAAACACCTCACACAGGACCACCAGGAACTCCAGGGAACTTGCAGAGACCATTCACACAGGAGATGGAGGCTGTCCTCAACAGGACTCCCACTGTTGGGTCAGTCCTCTGAGGGATGGAAGCGAGAGAGGCAGCCTAGGGGGAAAGACTGTGCTACACCTACTGCATCCAGGGATATGTAGACATAGATCTTGACAGGCATCAAATTATTCAAAAATTAAAATTAACAACTATGGATGACTATGGGTCTTCATGAACAAAAGGTGAGCTAACTGAAATCACTCAGATTTATAGGGTGGAAAAACACACCTTTAAAATGCAAATGATTCACCCAACAGTCTGGAATGGTTCTGTCTATGATTCCCCTTGCCTGGGTGCACAGCTCCATTTAAATTAATTGCCTAAATATCTTTTTATCCCATTGCCAAGAACAGCCCACATGAGGACAATAATGAGCTGCCTAAATAAACACATGAAAAAAAAATAGCCTTGAGTCAGTTTTTTTTTTTCCCAGTTAAAAAGAAGCATGGTTTATGAGTGTCCCTGAAGGACTAGTAATACCTGCGGAAATTGCATTACAAAATAGATACAAATAAAATTGCTTCTGATCCAAACCAGTCCAAGTCAGGAAACATGACATAAACGTGCGCTTCTCCTGTTTCCTCAGCTCTGGCACTGCAACTGCTTGCATTCTAGTTTTGTTGTCACTGTCAGCTTTCAGTCCCTGACCTGTTGATTGTTATGGTTGACTTTTCATTCTGTATGTTTTGTAACACATTAGGCCATTTCTTAGCAATTCTGGAAGAGTGCCAGGTGCCATCCAGTATCAGATCAAACAATATGTACATGATGAAATCTTAGAAGCTTCTTTGCTCCACCAATAAATACTTTACAAATGACCCTGGGAGCAACTTGACATTCTTGTGTCAATCATGGGGGAGCACTCCTTCAAGGCCCTGCGATTTCCCTGCAATATTCTAACAGGGGTCCTGTAGCATATCCCACAAAATGTTCACCTCAAGGAGATAATGCCAGAGAGACAAAGAGAGAAGTATTGGGTCTTCCTTAACCAACCTGTAAAAACCTAGAATAAAGTATGTAAGTGACAAGGTTGAAGAGGGAACAGGAGATTGAACATCAATATTCTCATGGCCCTAAGAATGAACCAGTCCCTAACAGTCCCTACCACCATCAACCTTAACAACAGCGACAAAAAGATATGGCCAAATCCCTCTCAAATTATACAGTTATGCTTGACATAAGCGTTATGTCAGTCTTTGGAAAGTTCTCAAGTGGAAACAGACACAAGTGGAGGAAATAAAAAGATACCAGGATAGCATGTGGAGCAAATACCCATAGTAGGAACATCCACTGTTTAGTAAGCACACAAGGCACCTTACATGTTCCATCTCTCATGCTGTATCTTTAGCATAGCCCTGTGCCATTTATGATTAGCTCCACATTACAGATGAGGAAACAAGCTCAAAATGGTGTCATTACTTGCCCAAGAGTGAATGAATGGTAGAACTGGGATCAGAATCCATGTGTCTTGCCTTAAAGTCTAGACTCTTAATTATGCTGTGTTGCCTTCCATGCTAGACAGGATAACAGAGGGAGAGATTTAACGTGTGACCAGGTGTCTGACTCTCCCTGGCCTATGTTAGCCAAATGTGATGCAAAGAAGGAAATGTAGAGGTTAAGAACACAGGCTTAGTGTTAAACACACCTGAGCTGAAAGCCTATCTACTCACAGATTGTGTGATGTTAGCAGTGGTGCGTTAGAAAATGTTTAACAACCAGCACATATACGTATGTGTGTTATGACTATATATTACACATACATAGGTAAGTGCATTTACAAATTCTACCGATATAAAGAATGTATATCCCACAACTTACAGAGAATAATAACATATACAATGCTCTGTATTGTATATTTAATGTAGCCAATTGATTCTCACTGGATGCTTTTGACTTATAGTTGCAACTGACAAACATGTATAGTTCTGACATACATGCTGGTTGATATATTCACTATGTTAAGGAATGAAACAAAATGAAAAACACTTGAATACATATGCCAGAATATCACTTGTTCATCCAGGATGTCAGCAACTTCTTTGCTGAACCAAATAACAGTTTTTTTAATATTGGAAGAATATTTCCTTGATTTTTGTGTGTTATTCACAGTGTAACAGCTATACACAGAGTACGTTTTTAAGTTCAGTCTGCATTTTAAAACACTTTCTCCCTCATGTTGTCGAGACTCTAGGCAACAGTAAAGCAATAAACCAATCCCTGGTTTGTAGCATCTGATACTTTCTATAATACGAATCTCCTACCATGGTGTGTTTTAAGCTACCAGTGTGACATCACCAACATGGAGTTGGGAAGAGATGATCCATACACAGCATACAATTGTATGGTATTTCCACCACAGCAAAAAATAAATACATAAAAATGACCTCAAGAACATAGGTAATAACAATATGTGGTAAAATAATCAGGAAATGATGAGTTTTGAGTATTTATTAACTTTGCCTTTAACATAACATATTTAATTATAAACCTACATAATTAAGCAATGGCTAAATGTGATAATCAGCTCACAAAATTTCTGAAAATTTAACTCTCTCTCTATGAGCTGGTTCAAGATAGACTCCAACACATGGTGAGATCTTAGGCAGGTCAGTCACTTAATCTCTCTGAGCTTCAGTGTTCCTCTTTGTAAAATGGGTTAGCAGTGTCACTGGCCAATGCCTGGCCACTTAGTAAGTACAAGTAATTATTATCTTGATCCATTATATTATTATTATATTACTATTATCCCTAGGAAATGCTTGATGTAAAATTAGTGTCCCCCTGCTCTCTGCACCTCAATGATCATTTTACATTCGCCCCTTTGATCTGTGTTCAGAGAATGCACACTAAGTGGACAGTCAACATATGCACATATGCACACACAACCACTACCAAGCAAAATGTAAACAGACTCTGTGTCCCCTCTTATTTGTATGACAAGCAAAGTCGCCAAGGCTTACCAGTGTTTCTTTGTGCACACAGGAGTCATGAAAGTGATAGAACATAGGTTGCTGTTGCAACAACTAAGCAGGGTCTTCAGTGTCTCAAAAAGACAGGCAGAGCTCTCTATAAAGCGTGTGTGCCCCCACCTAGCCTTCCCCTGCCTGTGCCCAACCCTTCCCACCAATAGCAGCCGCTGTGGGTTTTTGGGCCTTACCTGCTCAGCCTTCTGGTGGAACACAGCAGACATGGCGAGGATGGTGCTGCGTTCATCCAGGGCAGCAGCAAAGCTCTTCCACTCCTGGTCTAGCTGGGTGGAGATCTGCTTGATTTGTTGTGAGGCATAATGGCCAGCCTCAGAGAGGCGGGAAGCCACAGACATGATGCGGTTGATGTTGACATAGGCATTCTGGAAAGCAAAGGAGAATGCTCAGTGGGGCAAGCTCAAAAGACATACAATGAGCACTTTTGTGGGGTGCATATTTGGGGAAGGGAGCTACCCAAAACAAAAAGTCTGAGTGAGAGAGGCTGTTACAGGCTATATTAGTGTATTTGTTTTTGGACCAAGGGAAATCTTTTTCTACAATTCAATTTCAGTAGATAGCAGGGACCTTTCATTGTGGGGAAGCAGCATAGATTTTGTGCCAACTGTTAATGCACTTTAAGCAGTCACTTTACATGGACTACCTTTATGTATTCTTCACAACCATCAAACGAGGTCATTCCTGGGGATGGCATATAACTCCCAAGAGCACTCTTTGGAAGTGATGGCTCAGATAAGGGCACAAGCTAACAAAAGCAGAGACATCTCTCTTGCTCAGGAGAGGGCTGTACCCAGGGCATTATTGCCACCTACATACAAGGCAGATGTACTCATCAAAGAGGGCAAAGGAGACATGGTAATTCCACATCTTCCTATCACCTAGCAAAGATGTCCCCACCTTCCTCCTACCTCCTTCAGCCCTGCCAAAAGAGCTGAAGCACTGGTCATCAAACAAAGTTTAAATAAAGACAGCATTTGAAGCCACTCACTTTTCCAGGCTAATAATAAGGTCGGTGAAGCCCCTTCTCATTCCTGCTTGATTTAGGAGGATTTCCTCACCTGATCCCAAAAGGCCTCTGTGGGTACCCTAACAGGCATCGAGGAGGGTCTCTCTTGGCCCATTGTCTCCTGTCATCTTGTGTTTTGTTTACTTGTTTTGTTTACATTCATTTCCATCTTTGCTTGCTAATTAAAAATTCATGAACTTGTATGCTGTTTCCTATTAGGTCATCAAAAAACACTCCAGGAAGGAACAAGGCAAAAGAAAGAACAAGACAAAAGAAAAACCCCACAAACATAGGACAGCAGTAATTATGGCTATTTTTAACTGCTGTCTCCTGTTAGTTGTCTAAGGTGTCAAAACAATCAGGTAATGTGGCATCCACAGGGAGCTTTTCCAAATCACACAATGTCTGCATGAAGGAGGAGCAGGGAGGCACCTTCATTCTTTGTTACAAATATTCTCAAATGGTTATACATATTCTTCAGTAACAACATTTTCTCTAGGTTGTACTAGCTCAGCTATAGTTCATTAATACTCAGTAGTTTTAATGAAGATTCTTTATTTTCCTCTCTCACTTCCCTCATGGTCCCCACCTGTCTTAGCTGTCCTTGACCTCTGAGCACACCATCCCAAACCTGGACCAGGTTGATAGGGTCTCTCTTAATTTAAAATGTCTCTGCAGAAGTTTAAAAGGTTAAATGAAGAACTTCTACACAAATCCATCCTGATGTCTAATGACCCCCATGTGTCATCTCTTTTTTTAGTCTGGCCTGAGACCTTTCTGACACAGCGCATTTTCCTAACAGAACTGGGATATTACTGATTCTTGTTATGGGAAATAACTATCCTCTAAAGATGCTGGATTCATTCTCAGCCTTGTTTTCTGAGTTAGGACACAAATTCTACTGAAAATTAACCTCTATTTATAGAACTGACCGAAAAACCACTCTGCACTTAGAAATAGAGGGAAAGAAGGGGGAGGGGAAAGCACACACCGATTTTGACAGTTTTATCTTCTTTTTTTTAAGTTCAAGAGAAATACAGTTTTATCTTCTATGGGAAGAATAGTATGGGGAGTCCCTCAAATCTCCTGCTCTTGTCATTGTCTTACTTTGGGTTCTCCTCAAAGCAGACATTCAGACAAAGATTTGGGGGAGAGAGTTAACTTGGGCATGGTCCCAGGAAGCATAATGAAAGGGAGGGGAAGTCAAACAGGAAAGGGAGAGAAATGAATAATGGAAGTGTTAAGTGCTATGAGCAACTGGGGTTCAAATCCCTGTTGAGACCTTTTGGAAAACTATAAAACACACCTCTGAGCTGTCCCACTGAGAGGTGAGGAATCTGGGTTTCTGATGCACTAAGTCCCATAGATCTTTGGTTGAAGGTCCTTCCTGGGGTAAGTTCCTGGCATTTCCAGCCAAATCCACAAACAGACCAAGCACACTTCTGAGGTCAGAGAGTGATCACTGCAGATAAATGCAGGAAGCTGTCAGTTTGTATGAGGATCACCTGCAGATGACCCCCAGGGCAGGCTGAGGCCATATGGGTGGAACATTGACAGTATCTGATAGAGCTGTTCTCCCAAACTGGATTCAAATCCAGGAATCCATGCTCCTGTCCCTTATCCAGGTCTGTCTAGGTTTCTGGGTTTTCCTGTCCTAGAGAAAGGCCTTGTATACTTTGGCTAGATGGAATGCAAGAAAAGCAGTAAGAGCAAGGCATTACCCTGTCCTCACATATATCCTATGGACACCCAGCCCTTTGTCATCATTGCCAGTTACATTCTCCTCCCTCCCAAGGCACACAGGGAGGCATATTTCTGCTTACTTTTAGGAAGAACTTTCTAGCTATTAGAGGTGTCCAACTGTGGCTGCCTCTGGAGACTCTTAACACCTTGTCACTCATTCAAATATTTATGGAGAGTGGGCCAGGCTCTGTGTTGAGGAGATCAAAGAGGAATTAGATAGGATTCCTGCCCACCTACCCCCTGCCTGCAGTGGCTCACAGCTGAGACTTAAGACAAGTCCTCAAATAACTGGAATTTAAGGCAGGATGAAGCAAGTGCTTTCACAGAGGTAGAAGTGACTCCCTGTGGGGATTCAGAGGGAAGGGATCTGAACCACTGGCAGGGCTGTTGGGAAGAGGCTCCCTGCATGAAAGAGGGTGGGGAGGCTAGCAGTCCTCCACGGTCCCCTTCAACCTTTAAGCCTCTGATCATAGATTAAAACTAAAAGCAAACAAACAAACAAACAAAAAAAGAACACAGCTTACAGTTCACATTCTAGACTAGCACAGTAAATGCCTTTTTTGTTTCCTTATCAGCAGGCAGAGAAATGTCTTGCTAAAACCAACAAATAATTATGGCTCACAAATGAAGTAGAGGCAGTACCCCTCATAATAGAGGAATAAATATAATGTCGACTTACGAATTTGCCCATTGTTCTTCCCTATAGCCCCTTTTCAGAATATCGAACACTTCAGGCAAGTCACGTCACCCTAGTTCACCATCTTTTTCTCCTTTACCCCAGAACCTGAGAGAAATGGGCAGATAGATTCTAAACTGCAGTTGTCTGTGGGTACAAGGACAGTAACACAACAAATAAAAAGGGAGTAATGGCAAGGAAGGTCTCCAATGACTTAAGAGGAAAGAATGAGGCTGAAGAGCTGGATTAGGAGTCTGAATAAATAGGAGTGCTTACTCATTAAGCATAAATGACATTTCATGGCCTTTGGTCAATCTATTTGTGTGGTTCTTCTGGGTGACTGTTTATGTCCCTATTAGGAACATTTGGAAGTTATGTTTCTCCTTGGGAAACCGCCAAGAGGAAGAATGGATATTTTGGCTCTTTACAGCCTTCCCATTTCCTACCAGCTGCCCCCTCCACTCTCTTCCATCTGCCTGGCTCTCCCATTCTTCCCTGCCAGCCTTCAATGCCCTTCCATTTGCAGAGCTGCCTGTCAGTCAAGGGCATTAAAATCATGGGGCCAGGAATCAAGAGCCATGAATTTGGTCCTAGCTCTGGCACTCATTTAAGATGTCACTTGAGTTCTCTGTGCCTCAGTTTCCTCATCTGTATCAGATTTGACCTAATGATCTCAGACATTCCATTTCTGAGTAAGTAGTATCAGTTCCAGGAGACCAGGAGCATAGTGCTGCCTACTTCAGAGGTATATGTAGCCCAGGCCTGCTGTCCATGTCTCAGCACCTCATGCTGGCTTTGCTCACTGCCCAGAAGGTTGAGTACCAAGGCTGGAGCTGGCCCCCCTGAGTCCTTCAGCTTCCAGGTGACCAAGAGCCAGAGGCCCTTCTCCCCACTCCTCTTTAGCCCCTTCCCCTCAGCTGAGATGCCTAGACTAGCCAGCTTCCCTGGCCAGAAGGTAATAACTTGACCAATAATTCTAGCTTGATAAGTATCTTCTCAAATTCTTACCTCAAAACTGATTTATTAAACTTAAACCCCCCATATATATGCAGTCTGTTGTTATTAAATTATTATCATTATCCAAAGTATGGCACAGCCCAGGTATAAACACAATCTACCCTGCAGGAGGCAATGTACCTGCAGCACGGTCTGTTGCATCATCTACCTCATCTTACCTCCCCGCCGCCAAAGCCTCTCCTCCCATCATTTTGGTCATAAATAGGAAAAGTAACTAAATTCCAACAAAATCTTTGTAACTCAAAACCCATGTATATTGACACCCTACCCTCACTTTTGTTACCCACAAAATTCTTTCATTTTTTCATTTCTGCAGTCATTAACTAGAGATCACAGGATGGAGAGCCCCTTCTTCTGAGGCCTTGTACCCTGCTGTGATTAACTGAAATCAATGGAGCAGAGTCATTGTCGTGAAAAACTGCTTGATCAAAGAATCTTGATCAAAGTTTTCAGGCCTGCCCAAAGGGCTCCTACTTCCAACCTGATTCCTGGCTTATGCCTAATGGCTAGAAAAACAAGATAATGATAGCTTTCCATTGAAAACCTTAGCTAAATTTTCCTTTGTGATTTCTTATGTGGTATACTGAGAGAGATACTAGTTATTCTAGAAATAATCAGTTGATGCAAGTTATCATTTTGGTAACCTTAAGCTATGTGTCAGGGGCTGATTATTAGAGAAGATCATTGCCAAGAGAGGGTATTATCTGAATCCCATTCACTTCACTCCTAAAAGCAGAGGTGAACTTTACACTCCTGTGGTCACAGGCCCCACTCTGAATTAGACACTCTCTCTGTGGATTACATGAGATAACATAAAGCATCCAACCAGTTGCCTGGCACAGAACCAACAGTGTAAAGAATGTCTTATCTTTTCCCTCATTCAGCTCCAGGAGATTGGCATTAAGCCCCCAAGTGAAGTGCAT